TAGTAACAAGTGCATCGCTCCTAGTAACAAGTGCCTTACTAGTAGTAGGCTCCTGGCATCGCTATTAGGAGCAAGGACGCTACTAGGGGCGCTCCTGGGCCGAAAGGTCCCTCCAAGGACCTCGGACCTCTTTTTTTTAAAACCTGTTGTAAAACGATAGCTCACGCTTCTTCAAGGAAGCTCCCCCCCGCCAGGGCAGGGGGGGCTTCCTTGAAGAAGCACTCGCACTATTGATGTGGTTCCTACAGTAGATTCCTTTGCTAGTAGTTAGAATTCTTCTTAAAATATTCTCGTTACTAGTAGTAAGGCACTTGTTTCTAATAGCTTCTTGTTACTACTAGTAAGGCACTTGTTACTAGTAGCGAGGCACTTGTTACTACTAGCTTCTTGTTACTACTAGCACTCGCACTATTGATGTGGTTCCTAGAATTTTAGGAAACTTAGCTTCCAAGAGAACCCCTCAACCAGGAGAAGCTTCGTTGAAGAAAGTGCCACCACTTGGTCACTAACTCTTACTATGCAGCTCCCACCGCCTAGCCCCCCTAGCTGCCTAGCCCGTCCGTGCCTTTCAAAAAGAAAGGCAAAAACTTTCTGACTTTTTTCTCAGAGATTCGTCAGTGGAAGCATCATCGAGCCCCCAGCGCTTGTTCCAAATCAACTGCCTTTCATGCAGCTCACCCACTGGCTTTCCATCGCTCCGCCGAAACCAGCCACCTGATATAGCATCCCTCAAAATAACAAACAACTAGTAACTACTAGAATTGGTCTACACGCTAGTAGCAATGGCCTCCACCCTAGTAGTGATGGCCTCCACGCTAGTAGCGATGGCCTCCAACCTAAGAGCGATGGAGTAATACCTGAGAGAACCCGACTTGAATCTCCCCAGCTCTAAGGCCATGTTCTCCATGCTTTTGTGCATGTACTTGCCATTTGCTTGAGGGAAATAATATATGATGAGGACTCATGGAGTGAAAACGCACATAGACAAAAAACGCAAAAACCGAGGCCTAAAAGCCGTAAAAAAACACACTTTGCTTTGATCCAGCCTACCTTCTAAGCGATCTAATGCTGCATCTGCATCTGCCAGGGGTGTCACGACCGAGGCAGTGTCCACCAAGTCGACGTGGGTTCCACTGGGATCTCGGCTTTGCCAACCTCAGCTTAGGACGGCGAAAGGGCTCCTCGCTTAGGACGGCAAAGCAAAGCCGGACATGACATCAAGTCGTTCGGAGGTTCCGTGTCAAAGTCCAACAAAGAAGTTTCTTGTTACTAGTAGCTTCTTGTTACTACTAGTAAGTCACTTGTTACTAGTAGCGATGCACTTGTTACTAGTAGCTTCTTGTTATAAGGACAGTTCAAACATGTTCAAATGCATTTTGTTTCTTGCCACGTGGCAAGTTGAAGATTTTGGGCCACTTGAGCTTGTCGTGGTATAGCATGGCGCTGACAATCTACAGGAGCAATGTCCCATGGCACGACTTTTGCCTTCTTAAGGAAAGGACTTCAAGTGGGGTATGGCTGACATCGCTGAGCTACACAAAAATCTGCTAAACCACAAACGAAATGACACTCTTTAGCCTCGCTTTGTTCTTGGAGATGTGGTGCAACATGGCAAGGTAATGGCATTGCAACTAAAGCTTAATGACAGCTCCCGAGGCTTCGCAGCATCCGGCTTGTGCGTGAGCTTGAGCCTTCAAGCCCCTCAAGCGATGTGTGGCAACGCGGCAAAACCCTAGCAATGGCCTCCACCCTACTAGCAATGGCCTCTGCCAAAATGAGAGCTTAAAATCAACTTCACGACTGAGCATGCAGCCGCTTCTCTTGTCAAAAAACTCGCAGGTCACTTCAAACAAACACAGTTCCTAGTACTTAAAGACACTCACGAAGTGCCCGGCTCAGACTTCAAGGCACGGATGGACTCGTAGAGCCCCCCGCTGGAGCGGAAGTCGGGGATTCCAGCGGAGGTGGAGACGCCGGCGCCGGTGAGGACGACGATGCGTCGGTAGTCACCCGAAACCTCAGATGCGTAGAGCATTGGTAGTGACCCGGAACTTCGGATTCAAATCTTAAAAGTAACGTCATTGCTCCTAGTAGTAATGCCAGGAGCCGTGACTCTAATTGCCCCCTGTTTTCTAGTAGTATGGCCAGGAGCGCCTAGTAGCGCCCTTGCTCCTGTCAAAGAAAAGTGGCAGGACTCTACATTCGCTGCCTGAAGATTCTGTGACTTTGGCTGGTCTGCCCATGAAGAACTCGCTGATTGTTCTTGGATGTGCATTGATATTCAGGCCTGCGTTTTAAACAGCCACATGGCCTCACCTGGATTTCACTTCGCCCAAACGGAAAGGCCAAAGGCCAAAGGCGCCAAGCGCTGAAAGAATTCCTGCTCGGTCGGTTGAGCGACAGTGGGCCTCCGTTTGAGACTTCCACTTGCACGGGCCAGGTGCTTCCGACCTGCAACACTGCGAGGCTCCGTGCGCAAACTAATGGCAATGGGCTCCAACCTACTAGCGTCCGATCGTTCTTAGTAGCGATGCCAAGAGCCCCGATCGTAGCTTCTTGTTTCTACTAGCGTCCTTGTTACTACTAGCAAGGCACTTGTTACTAGTAGCGATGCACTTGTTTCTACTAGCTTGTTGTTCCTAGTAGTAAGGCAGGAGCCCTAGTAGCGTCCTTGCTCCTAATAGGAATGGCCTCCAACCTACTAGCGGCTGGAAAATGATGGAATCGCTGTTGCATGGCAGGGTCTGCCTTGCAAATGCTCCTGGAAAGACTTTGCGCTCTGCAAGTCCTGATGGAGCAACATACGCACGAAACGTGCTGTAAAAGGTCATCGACGAGCCTGACTTCCAAATGTCCTTCTGGCAAATATCACACCAATGGCAAGAAGATTCGCTATCGCTCCTGAGATGTGTCTCAGCAACATGTGTCGATCACATATCTCAGCCTTTGCAGCTGGAACATTTAGTCAATTTAGTGGGCTATCCTGCGTCCAGTAGGTAGTAGCTTGAGTGGTTAGTAGCTTACTCCCCTACTTCATTAAGCAGGCGCCTACTCAATTCAGGAGCGAAACCACAAAAAGTCGATCAACACGGGGTAGGGTGGACTGTCCCTCCAGGTCTTGCGAGAGACGCCCAATAGGGCGCTACTTGCGGCCCGAGATCGCTTCTCCCTCACATAGTGGACAAACGTCTTCAAGGAGGAATCCTGGTCCGCTTGGCACACTTTGCATACACAGTATAATACTAACGAAAGATGAAAAGGACCCTTGGAGAGTACGAAGACCTTCGTCTTCTTCCTTGAGGATCTGACTGATGGTGACCAATGCAAACCTGACTCTTGTCACAAGAAAGGTCAGAAACCAGGTCCTGTCCCATCGCAAACGGGGCATTCCGAAGCCATGGCCCATCTCTCGCATATTGGGTTTTGCTTTTCCGCAGCCTCCAACCTAGCAATGGCGTCCAACCTAAGAGCATTGGGTTTGGCTTTTCCACAACTGGACTAGCTGAAGAAATGACTTTTGAGGTGTTGATTCAACTCTTTCGACACTAAGTTTATGAGTGGGACACACTGATGCCCAAATTGTCCCGCACAAGCCCCTGAGAGCTAAAGCTGAAGCCACCAACAAAATGAAAGGCATTTTGCACATGCAAAGTCTGCAATTAGTGGCATCATGAGCAACGGTCTCACGTTGCCCTACTCCAACCCCTTCGGTTTCTGGTCCACAAACTCCGAAGTCATCTTTGTATGTCATTTTGCCATGCCACAGATTGGGAAAAATAGATAGCCTTGCAGGCCTTGCCCTTCCTCTCGCCCTCGATCAATCATGAATCAAATTAATCTTATGTATATATAATCACAGCCGCCGGTCTTTTTCACGCGTTGCAGCCAGTTTGTCTGA